GAACTTTCACGTGGCTGAAGATGCCTACTGGAACTTGACTATTGCATATTGTTGAAATGTGCTTGCTGTTTAAAGACAGTTCCTTCAAATTACGGATCACCTAAGAATCCATCAAAAGAGACTAGTTAGCGTTAGTTAATAGCAACTTGACATTAGCTGCATGTTGAAGATCGACAACTTCAATCTTCATTTATAGGCACCTCATCAGTTTGCACATGAATATAGGATATTGCATATTCGTACCTGTTCGATCAAGACAAGTGGCTTTTGAACTGAGGAACGATGTTCTTCCGTCCCAAATACTTCTACCCCGCCACAATTGTAAGTCTTCAACATTTTTAACTCTGGCCATTCTGTTTCATGAGCTTCTGGGTAAAAGCATTTCAGTTGAGGCAGGTTACAAAGCGTAAGATAGCGTGCTTCAGGAAAGGAAAACATATTAACAGGTTGGTTCGATCCATCCTCCTTTGAAACAACCTCTTCCAATCCACATGAATCGATTGTGAGATCTACTAGTTGTTGTAGACATATTGCCACTGATGCTGGAAAAAGACTTTTCAGACGCCAACAGTCTCGAACACATACGTTTCGTATATTTCCAAAGGCACTGATGCTAGAACCCTCATTCAATACGTGTTTAAGCTTTTTCGAAATTTGAGATTCTCTTGACCGAGTGGCTAATTCGATGTCCGATGACTCAAAAATATGTTGTAGTGAATCACAGTTGACAACTGTTAGTGTTTCCAGTCCCAGGAAATTCCTCACCATCTTAGATGGGAAAATAGAAAATAGCTCATTACAATATCCGACCTTCACTTCTTTCAGTTGGCTAAAGGAATCTGTATGAAGTTGGTTGTGCCATAACTTCTTCACAATTTCCAAGTGGGAGATTTTCAACTTCTCCAGCTTAGGGAATGCAACCTGCATAATTTCATGCCATTGAGTATAGTATTCCAGGAGTTAATATCCAAGTAAAAATTCAGACTAAAGAAAATTCACCTTTGCATTAAAGAGAGCTTGTGCTCCTAAATGATGATCATTTTCTTTGTTTATTTCTAGTGTTCCATTGACAGTTGTGATATCTGTGATCTGAGATTTGTGCATGAATTCCTTCATTTTAGGGCAATTCTCTATCTCCAAAAGCTTCAAAGACGGGAATTCGAGAAAATAATCATCCGAGCAGAATCCGACTAAGTTCACAAGACTTATCATTTTCAGGGAAATTAGTTGGGGGAACACTATCTTGGCAATCTTCCCTTTTTCTTCCTCTTTCTCTTTTCTTTTTCCTTCTTCTTCTATTTCTTTTTCTTTTTCATTTTTCTCTACATCATCTGGAACCATAATCTCTCTTATACGATTGCAGTCGATTATCTTGAATCGTTTGAGTTGTGGTAGGCTTCTAATGACAGACGGCGAAAACAGATGTTTAAGGTTACTACAACCCTCAATGGCCAAGCTTGTCAAAGTCTTACTGCAACATGGTGATATCTGCCATAACCTTTCTATGTTGATGGAGGATAATCTCAGGTTCTCAAGGACAGGACACAAAACCTACATGCATATACATCATTTCAGTATAATTTAATCTTTCTTTTGAGTTTCTAATAATATGCTTCTATAGTTGAATGAACATGATATATATGGTAATACTAGTACCTTTTCATTGAAAAGTATCCAAGACCTTGCGTTCACCGGTTCGAGTTGATAAATGGATCGACTCTTCTCTTTGGAGCAGAAACTACTAAGCTCTGGTAGAAGTTGCAGTGTTAAGGATTGCAGTCGACCAAAATCACCTTTATTGGTTGCTGTACCAGCACTCTGTTCTCTCTCTTCAGCAACAATCTCTTCAATGCTTTTGCACTCTGAGACTTTAATTTCTTGAAGTTGGACCAGCTTTTCGGCCATTGAGAATGGAAACAGATTCTTCAGCCGGTCACAACATTCGACACGTACGATTTTCAATCTCTTGAAACATTCTTCTTCGAGTTTGCCTTGACATATCTTCTCCAAATTAATCAGATTCCGAAGAAACAATGATTCCAGTATAGGGAAGGCTTTATGTGAAGCTGCCTCCATGCAGTTAACAATGAACTGTATTTCCGAACCATTTCGTACTAGTAGATTCTTGAGCTGTGGAAAACCAGTACCATCCACCTCATACAGCAAATTTTTGATACCTTGCAATTCATCTAAAGTTAGATCTTCAGTTTTCTGCAACAAACGTTTAACTCCGCGATCCAAGTGAAGTCCATTAGTGAGCTTGAGTTTTAGCATTCTCTCCTTTTCACACTTTCCTGACCAGTCCCAGATTTCCCCGATAAGAATCTTGTACCGGTTCAATCTTTCAGAGAATAATTCTTCTGGCATATCTTGAACAGAATGAATATGGACTTCCAAAGCATTTAGACCAGACAAAGACTTCAATTCGTTAAGGCTGGCATTGCCATCAACACCCCATCGATCGAAGCTGTTGCGCATAAGCAGTTCTTCTAAATGAGACAAGCCTGATATGATGTTGGCTGGAATGACTTTAAGCCTGGAACAATTGCTCAGGTCTAGTGACTTAAGCCTGGTTAGTGTCCCTATTTCCCGGGGCAATATCTTTATATCAGAACTGAGAATTTTAAGGGTATCCAATTGCTTCAGATTCCCAATAGTTGCAATGTCATTCAACTCGCACTCATCGAAACGCAACATTTGAAGGTTTCCTAGAGAAGTCAAAGACGAAGGCAGGGAACGAAAACTCAAACCAGCCAACTCTAACATTGAGAGTTCGGTCATCTTTCCAAAGAAAGTATCTGGGACTTCAAATGATGGTCTTTTGTTTAACAAAACCAGCAACTTTAGCCTGGGGCATTCCAACTTGTCAGGAAGCTCATTGATATCACCGTATGGAAGTGAGATAGCACTGCAATATCCGAGCTTTCTTTGCTCTAGAAGCTCTTTCATACGGATTTCATCCTCTATGACCAATATCCGCTGCTCTTCATATGCAATCCAAATAGCGACATCACGAACAATGTCATGCATTCTCACAAGGTTATCATCGGTGGTGCTGCGGAGTAGTAAACCTGCAGCTTCTAGGTCGTTCACACATTTTCTTGCTTCTTCCAATGTTCTCACATTGTTTTCTATTTCCAAACTCAAACTGTACCGTAACAAGTCAGATGCTTCAATGTGTGAACGTTGGGGCAGCAAGGCACAGAGCTGGAACATGGACTGCAAGTCTGGTTTCTCTAACAATCTGTAACTCAACTCTATAGTCGAGTAAACACTTGCGAGATGCTCATTTTTGGTCGGAATTGGATCCGTCTGTCTTGCCAAAGCATCGAGTAGGAAACTAAAGACTCGTCTTCTGAACACCATTGCAGTTGCAATTGCTGAAATAGCAACCGGTAAACCTGCACAGTTTTTCACCACTCGGTTTATTGTACTTTGGTAAGCAGGGTTCTTTGCTCTACCGCCCACCATTTTTTGAAACCACTTAATCGCTTCTTCATCTGGTAGCACTTCCAGTTTGTGCATGCTTTCAATTTGCACATTACTGAGTGCTTGTTCGGTTGTGCAAGTCAGTAATACTTTGAATCTAACAGCAGAGAGTTTCCGAAAAGCATTTTCACTAGTATTTCGCATCAATTGCCCTGTGCCGTCTTTGCTTGCAATACTCTTGTAACTTTCGAAAGAAATCCCGATTTCTACTAGTTCCAGTCTTTGGTCATGCCAAACATCATCTAGAATTACAAGAACACTCTTATCTCCTTTATTCAACCACTGCTGCAGCCTCGTTGCTCTTAAAAACACGCTCTCCTCGTCTAACTTCAGTCCTAAGGCATCTGCAATTTTCCCTTGAATTTCTTTTACGTTTAGTTTATGCGAAACAGTTGCCATTGCAACCTCATCAAACAAGGTTTCTTCCCTGGCTCTCCTGGCAACCTCTTTCACAAGTGTGGTCTTGCCTATACCAGTCATCCCGGATACACCAATGATCTTGGGATGAGGAGTTTTCAAGGCGTTCATGATACCCTTAAGTGTAGCTTCCCTCGATGGAAAAGCCTCGAAATCTTTAAAAATCCCAGGTTTGGTGTCCAGGTACTCCGTCCTCGGAACCTCAACGGTCCTCGGCTCCTCAACGACCCTCTTTCTGGTGAACTTGAGATAAGATGCCTCCACAAGGAGCACTGCAACACTTTGCGAGTTCTCCTCAGCTTTCTTGTTTAGCAAGTCAACAGACTTCAAATTAGGACACATGCCAAGGAAACACCTCTTCTTTGCTTGTGCTTCCAGGTCCTCCAATATCTCTTCCTCTTCCTTGATTTTCTCCTCTGCACGAATCACCCATCTCCGGGCATCTTGGTCTGTCTCTTCTCTGTTCTCATCAGCGACTTCAATCAGACGCTGCATTCTATCTTTTTCATATCTCAGTTTCTGAATTTGTTGCTTCAGATTTTGAATACTCTCCAGCTTCGACTTGTAACTCATAAACCCAGTGACAAACTCCATTTTCTTTGAAATCAAAGTAGCAGTGAATGAATAGCAAGTCTATAGAGCAAAAGGAGTTTGAATGCAAAGAAGACGAGACGAAAGAAAGCAAGCATCAAACAGTACACTGCTCTTTTTCTTTTTCTTTTTTTCATATCCCTTGATTCAAACACAAGTATGTAGTGGAATCTCCACATTTTAAATTAAAAATGTTCAAGAAAAGCAAAGCCAAAAGAACAAAGCATATGATAAAGTTATTTAAAGTATTGTTCCAAAAGGATTTCCTTTACTTGTTCCACAAGTTAAACTTCCAAACGTCCTGTAAATTTCATTTGTTTATTAACTCTATAAAAGATGAGAAAATCTTCTAAATTTATAATATTTTCATTTGTTTATTATCTGCAATGAAGATAGTGTTTTGAACAAATCCAAGTATCATATCAGTGGGAAAGTGGAATAAAAAATTTGGATGCAAAATGAGGAGCAGCAACATTCTTGTTTATCTTTTATTTTCTTTGCAGGAACAATAAATTTTGAAGGGGAGAGAATGGTTCAGGTCCCTAACAACTGATAACAAGGCCATGGCATCTTCCTGAGATAATGGCCTCCCTTATTTCTTCCCCTCCTCAACAAAAACAGAGTACTTCAAACAAAGAACATGTCGGATTTGTTGTGGGACAAAGGCAACAAACATATTCCATTGTAACCAGTTTTTACTTGAAACTTTTGACTTGTTTGAGTTTGCCACGACAGAAAGTGACTTAATAGAACACTTGATGTTTGACTTGGATTCGAGCGCCATTCCATAGTTTTATGCTTCAAATTCCGTTTATAGGTCCACCCTCTTTCATGGTATAGGTCCCTGTTTGACGACTAAACCTGAGATGGCATAACACGAAGTTGAATTTTCTTAAGGCTTAATTGTAAAAGAATCGACGTTCGAATTGTATTTCCTCTGTTGCCGCATATTTTCGAGCTCTGCAGCCGGGAATGGGGTTTATCTTTTTCTCATGTTCCACGTGGGTGTGATACAGTAGCAGACACCTTGGCGAATTTAGCGTGGGTTATTCCTTATGGTATGACGATATTCCATGCACCGCCTGATGAGTGCATCGAAGCTCTTATGGAGATCCCTGGTGCTGGTTTAGTGGTTTGTAGCTCTCTAGCTCTTTCACTTCATCGTATGTATTAAAAAAACAAAAAGGGTAAATTACACCGTTCCTCATTAACTTTACTCTGTCTCCTCTTTTGCTCACCCAGCTTTCAATTATTCTATTTTACTCACTGAACTTTGACATTACTCTTGTTTTGGTCACTCCGCTGTTAATATAACATGGCACACTACGTCAAAACGACGTCGTTTTTTTAGAACTAAATCTAGGTATTTAGGGGATTGGGCGACATAAAGGGTGATGGCTGACAATGAGAGTCTGACGATGGGTAAGTAGGTATTTGGTAATTTTAGCGGCCACCAGCAATAATAATGGCTTTTGAATTAGATATTTTAGGATTTCTTTTAGATTATAGAGAAATTTTGGTTTTCTTAAATAATAATTTTAAGTTTTTTAAAACAAAATATTCAATTAAACACACCATGTGTCATGTTTTGAGTGCTTAATTTTTTAAAAAAACGATCATGACGAAGTTGGCCTTAAAATGATAACGGTGAAAACGTTAGACACTTATTTAACAAAAAAAAAACCCTTTAAACACACCGTGTGTCATGTTTTGAGTGGTTGATTTTTTTTAAAACGATCATGACGAAGTTGACCTTAAAATGGTAACGGTGAAAACGTTAGACACTTATTTAACCAGTAAAAACCCTTTAACCACCTAAAACAAGCAAAATATTTAGTATATTTCAATTAATCCTTTTTGTAACTAATACACATGTATGTTGCCAGTTTTATACCTTTTTATTTGCTAAACGGACAGGAACCTTAACAAACTAACAACGGCAAATTCTATACCATACCAAAGTTGATGAACTTCATTTCACCTTTCACTCAGCTGAAGGTCTCCACAAGTCTGACAATGTCCACTGAAGAAACTTAAAATGATGCATCCATGATATGTTAATGGCCTTCCATTTTTCTTGGATTTCTTCTATCATGCAGAAGCTTCTCATGTCCTTATGAGTTTTAAGGAATATGAAGAATCCACTGAGTTGGAACATTTCTGGTGTGTTGCTATGGAAAGAACTCGTGCTCAGGTAAATGAACGTACCTTTTCTCTGTGAAATCCTTCTATGGTGGTGTTAAGGTCCTTATCTGTAAAAGATCTATCTCCTTCTTCTGTTGGGTGTACTCTTTTTAGCAATGCTGTGCTTACTTCTCCTTCACAAAAGCGAATGAACTCTGGGCACTCGATTGCATCTAAATCAACCAAGGAAGGGAACTGGAAGTGATATTCCTCCGAGCAAAAACTTGCAAGTGCCGGTAAGCTTTGAATCGATTGTGAGATCTACTAGTCGTAGACATATTGCCACTGATGCAGGAAAACGACTTCTCAGACGCCAACAGTCTCGAACACATACGTTTCGTATATTTCCAAAGGCACTGATGCTAGAATTCTCGTTCAATACGTGTTTAAGCTTTTTCGAAATATGAGATTCTCTTGACCGAGTGGCTGATTCGATGTCCGATGACTCAAGAATATGTTGTAGTGAATCACAGTTGACAACTGTTAGTGTTTCCAGTCCCTGGAAATTCCTCACCATCTTAGATGGGAAAATAGAAAATAGCTCATTACAATATCCGACCTTCACTTCTTTTAGTTGGCTAAAGGAATCTGTATGGAGCCATTCCGAACCCTAAACCAGCCGAAACAGATTCATTATAATGAGACCGGCTTAATTCTCCAAACAACCCCAAAGCTCGTCACAATTCTAAAGTGATCCTTAAACTTCAAAATATTATTGTCGTTACTAATCAAGTACTTTTATCAGTGTGATATCAACTCTGGTATTAAATATTAGCTTGGATCTAAACCACTTGTGTACAGAAGGAAACAAAGAGATCAGATGAGATGAAGGCAGCCAACTTGGGGCAAGTAAAGGGTGAAAATTTTGTTCCAAAATCATTAAATTTTAGTATTTTATTGTATTTTTTTCTCTCACATCTTCAATGTCTTGTCCATTTCATGGAGGAAGATGCCAATCCAAGAACTGCTCCCAGTGGTTGACCCAACACCAATGCTCCCAAAAACCAATTGTGAAAGTATCTGGGCATTGGCTGATTATAATAATAGTAAAAACTATCCCTTTGACAGTGAAGTTCATGGAAACTGACACCAGGCCATAGATGCTAGCTGTTTCTTTTTCTTCTTCACTTCATGACCCATTTTTACGTACATAAATTTTATTTAATTAAAATTAATACATATGTTTATTTTTTAGTATTTTTTATAAAAATTTTGTTGTGTTTAAATTAAATAAATGACCAATGATTGGATTTTGATTTTCTTTTAGTATGTTTTTTTTCCCTCATTCCCTTAAAATAGTAAAATATGTCTATATGATTTAAGAGTAAGATAAAGTAAATTTATATTTTCTTTGAGTTAATTCCATCATGTGTCCTCAAAGTATGACTTCCATTTTAGGTTTGTCCCTAAACCTTTAAATATTACAATTTCATCCTTAAACTATGACTATCATTCCAAATTAGTTCTCAAACTTTTGAATATTTTAATTTCATCCTTAAACTTTGACCTCATCTAAATTGATCCCCAAACTTTTTAATCATTCCAATTTCATCTCAATTTCATCCCTTGTTGATAAAATCATTAGGCTAAATTTTATTATTATATGTTTAAAAAACAGAATTTAAGTTAAATCATGGTTGAAACTAATTACATATTTGGATGAAATTGGAATATTCAAAAGTTTATGGACCAAATTAGAAGAGGGTCATAGTTTATGGATGATTAGAATGTTTAAAAGTTTAAGGACTAATTTAGAATGAGTTTCGTAGTTTGGGGATGAAATTGAAATATTTAAAAGTTTAAGGATTGATTTAAAATGAAGATTATAGTTTGGGAACATATGATGCAATTAACTCATTTTCTTTAGAAATTTAAATATTATATCAATCATAATATCTAATTATTGTATTAATCATATTTTAACATGGATATTAATTTTTTTGCCAACTATATAGCAGTTAATAAGTCTAATGCAACACAAATCAAGCGACTTCATTGGATAAGAGATTTATTGTTATCCCTTTAGGTCTCAGGTTCGAGCACCACATATGCAAAGATATGAATATTCATTGTCATCTTATTGATCTGTTAAATTTACTGAACGATTTAAAAAATTAAAATGACAATTAAAAAATTAATGACCAAAATAAAATCTCAATAATAATTGAGAGACCAAAACAGAAAGTTCAATATTAATTAGGTCATCAAACATGTTGTTTACATTGATTGATATATAACTTTGTGGGGAGGAGACCATGTGATTAGCACAAATATAACGTACACAAAGCATCACGACACATTATAGTAAGAGGAGATTATCAATATCTGAATTCATGCCTTAAAATTATTTTAAATTTTTTAAAAAGTGGTGTCATCACTTTGACCAATTAATGAGTTACGTGAAGGGTTAATTTGGAATAAATTATGTTTTGAAGGTCCATAATATGAATAATCCAAAAAAGTATGGAATTGATATTTATGTTGGGATACTCGAACACAATCTATAAATTTGATTATCATATCGATTTGAATAAACATTCACCGGTGATATCAGATATAGAGTTATTATAAACACTCGTAGATAAGTATATTAAATAGATATGTTTGTCTTAACTTAAGTTTTCGAAGAATTATCTTCAAAAGTATAACATACTTAAACCTAGATTATCAAAAGAAAAAAAATCTAAAACAATTCCTTAGTTTTAAGATAGTATATTTTGCTATTTTTAAAAAAATGAGGCTTAAATATAAAATAAGTGTCTAAATTATATTATTTTTCACGAATTGGTGTTTAAACTAATTTTTGAATTGTCCAGACGTCTATCGTTACAAATGTTACAATTTTAGGTGTGTCGACTATAACGGCCTTTAAAAAAGTCTCGTTAAGTAACATGTGTCATAATCTTATAATTTTAAAAAAAATATTTTTCTTTAGAAAAATATTATTAAAAAAACCCAACCTGTGTCTCCTTCTCCCTCCCCTCCTATTCCAAACTTTTCCACGGCCATAGTTGAATAAATGACCGATTATCACGATCGACTAAAAGGATTTAAGGGATTTGATATTTAAAATTTTAGGGATTAGGGATTGAAATGTAGAGATTTGAGAATTTTGAGTTTTGAGGTGATAACAAGGGTTATGACCAGTCATTAGGTGGTCGACGACGTATGGGTGGTCGTTCTCTGGTGGATAGGTGGTCGGAGATGACCGATGGTTGGAGTAAAATAGACTAGAATAAGAGATTTAGGGACTTTGATTTTTTTTTTGGTATTTTAGAAAAAATGAAACATTTTTGAAAATATTTTTTTAAATTTTAAAAATAATAATTTTTCAAAATTAACAGATTATAACACTTATCACTTAATGAACTTTTTTAACGGTTGTAGAGACACCTAAAATTGTAACGTTTATAACTTTAGATCGTAGATGATTCAAAAAATAGTTTAAATACTAATTCGAAAAAGCAATATAGTTTGAGTAATTGTTTTATGTTTAAGCCTAAATTGCACAATATTGGATAAGTAATCATATAAAATTTCAGCCAAAAAAATATTTTTTCAAGATTTATTTCTGAAACCCTAAAACGAAACTCGAAATAATCATCGGAAAGTATATTTATTTTTGAGACATTTTTTAAGAATAAATCAAAATAAAAAACAATAAAAAAACATGTCACTAATACACATCCATGGGGGACCCAAAGAAGAGTTATCTATTGGTCTCTCAGCTTGTCGTCTTCCATCTCAACATTCATCTCCTTATGTACAATTTTTTTTAGTATTTCTCTCTCTTTTTCCTTGGTCTTCTAACCTGCGCACTGTTCCTATCCTTCACCCACTCCACATGACACTCATATAATAACCCCTCCTCTCTCTGTTCCGATTGCATCTCTTTCCAACAGATTCTCAAGCAAGAAAATATGTATTTACTTTTCTTTTCCTCTCTTGATGATACAAGTTGAACATTATGAGAAGAAAAAGGAGGGATATTTGAAGTTGAAAAAGAAGATTATATTACAAATCTTTGTTGGGTCGTTTTCTGGTTTTGTTTTGTGATATGAGTTGTTGTGGATTGGGTTGTTCTTCAAAAGGATCTGTTCTAAGCTTCTGGGTTTTGCTTTCAAGTCTTCAAAGAGAGGGGAAATGTCTGCAAGTAACGAAATCAACCTCAATGAGAGCAAGGTACGATTTTGTTTCGTGTTTCTTCTCCATTTTATTATTCTGCATAATTTCTTTCTAGAATTAGGTTGTCAAGTTGGTATTTTTAATGGAGTTTTCAAATATTTTCCCTTTTTTGGTTGTTGAAAGCTGAATCTTTTGCCATTTTTGGGGTAAATAGCTTCGTTTGACTTTTGAGCCTTGTTTCTATTTCTCCAATAAAGTTGGAATTTTCTTGATTTTAGTTCAGTCTTTTTGAAAGAAAAAAATAGCACTAAAATTGGTGTTTGTTGGCAAGGTGAGCAAGTACAATTAGGGTTTTCTGTTCATTTTCTTGATGACTTTCTCACTGTGAATATCAATTTCCTGGTGAAATTTCCTTTGTTTTTGGATTTGATTTCATGGAAGATGAAGCTCTTTGTTTTGTTCTTCTTTACCTTTGTATCTTAACAGATGGTGGTTCCACTGAATACATGGGTCCTCATCTCCAGTTTTAAGTTGGCTTACAATCTTCTTCGTCGACCGGACGGCACTTTCAATCGTCACTTGGCGGAGTTCCTTGATCGGAGAGTCCCTGCTAATGTGAATCCAGTTGGTGGGGTTTTCTCATTCGATGTCCTCATCGATCGAGCCACCGGGCTCCTGAGTCGGGTTTATAGACCAGCTATTGGTGAAGAGCCTCAGCCGAATTTTTTTGATCTTGAGAGGCCTGTTACGGCTGAGGTTGTCCCAGTTATAATTTTCTTTCACGGTGGAAGCTTCGCGCATTCCTCGGCGAATAGTGCTATATACGACCATCTGTGTCGGATATTGGTTGGTACCTGTAAGGCCGTTGTGGTCTCGGTGAATTATCGGCGTGCTCCTGAGAATAGATATCCATGTGCTTATGATGATGGATGGACTGCTCTTAAATGGGTTAACTCTAGATCATGGCTTAAAAGTCGGAAAGATTCGAAGGTTCATGTATATCTGGCCGGGGATAGCTCCGGTGGTAACATTGCTCACCATGTTGCTCTGCGAGCCGTTGAATCGGGAATCGATATATTGGGAAACATTTTGCTCAATCCGATGTTTGGTGGTCAAGAAAGAACTGAATCTGAAAAGCGTTTAGATGGGAAATACTTTGTTACCCTACGAGACAGGGATTGGTATTGGAAAGCTTTCCTCCCTGATGGCACAGACCGGGACCATCCTGCATGTAATCCGTTTGGTCCTAAAGGTAGAAGTCTCGAAGGAATCCAATTTCCGAAGAGTCTCGTGGTGGTTGCGGGCTTGGATCTTATTCAGGATTGGCAATTGGCTTATGTCGAAGGGCTCAAAAAGGCTGACCAAGAGGTTAAACTTCTATACATGGAACAAGCTACAATCGGTTTCTACTTGTTGCCAAATAACGATCATTTCCATGTCGTTATGGATGAGATAAGTAAATTCGTTAGTTCCGACTGTTAACGAATTAACATTACCTTCAGGCAGCAATACATGAATGACCGGAGCTCGAAGTTCCACTTTGGGCCATTAAGAAAGTTTGCAGTTTCCGATTATATGGTACTACTGATCACTATCCATATTAATCAACGTGTTTTTGGTCTGCCTTTTCCTTATATGGTGAAGAAGAGGTATATTTCAGCATGTAGCTGGATTGCTAGTTGTTCCTGTCTGCATTTCGGTGAAGTTCACTGCAATTAGAGCCTTTGACTACGTTTGCCAGACCACTGGGTTTACGTGTTATCAACTCCGAAGTCTTGCCCCGAAGGAGAAGACCGGGACATATATGGATAACATTCTGTACCGGATCAAGGGATCGGTACCCGATTATTGTTATGTATGCTAATTCTAGAACATGGATTAAAAAAGTTCCATGATGTTGTGACCCTGTATGTCTATACATATAATGTGTTAAAAGTATATAAATAGATGTTTGCTTAAATCAGGTTTCCCCCTACTATTAAACTCTACAGATTCCATGACATTGATGAGATGAACTTATGTTTGACTCTAAAATGGTGAAATCCGCCGATGTTCGGCCCCCGAAGATAACTTCGGAGACGACTGAACGAGGAATAAAAAACGTGCTCCCATTCCATCCGTTAAAATCCTACCAGACACACTGGTAAATGATTGGAAGCAAATTCTGTAGTCCCATGGATTGAGATGGGGATTGGTTTGATGCATTCGTCATTTCTTGGATGTTTGTGACTAAAGAAATTGACTTGTTTGACAATGGCAATCAAAGCACATATACATGCATAATGGTGGTTGCTATTTGGATGCATTACAAGGGGGACCACTGAAAGGCATTCAAATCCTTTGTTGTAAGCTGTTGTGATTTGTTAAAAAAAACAGCTAAGCCTTTTGATAAAGACATCATCAAGGCCTTGTTTAATTGACATTTATGGACCAATTAACAATATGGGATTATGCAGGTGAAAAACTTGTGCTGATAAACATTCCAACTTGATCATTAATGGAGTTTTTCACCTCCTTTACCTTTCTGAAGTCATTCCCTTTTTCCAAGCTGGATGGTACCATGTATCAGAAAATGTCTAATCTTTGGAATAATGATTTCCCATCCCAACTCCCATACCATTTATTTTGAGAGATTTATGGTGATAAAGGTCATGAATCTGAAAAAACAACAATGGAAAGATTGATGTTGTTACATAATTATTCCTTTATGGATGACCTTTGAAGAGGGTTACAGTGCTTTGATCCAAGAAGCATTGATCTTGAAACATGTTGCCATGCTAAAAAGACATGGTTAACTGGCTATGAGTTCCGATGCGTTAACGAGGGTATCGCCCTTTTTATCGGGTATATATATAAGTTCGATATGCATAACAAATGTACAAGGAGAAAAAGTTCATGAACCTTGAAAGATTGGGATGAGCATAAATGAAGGGCCTTTGAACCTTAAGCAACAGTTCAGCAGGAGATTGCTGTAATGGCCCAAGTGATGCATAAAGATTGGTAATTGTATGGTCAATTGTTATGATTTTGGAGTTTTTTTTACCTGTTTTTGTGTTGAGAGAAGAGAGTAGGAAGAAATGAGGAAGAAAGGAGAGAACGGGGGAGGGAAGGAGAGAACGTGTGGTGGGGGATAGAGTTTTGGATTAAAATATTTTAGCCTGGCTTAAAACAAAATATTTTGGACTCATTTTTATTAAGTTATAAATAATTTTTAAGGGATATATTAATTTGTCATCATTCCACTTTTTAAAATTTATAATTTAATCTATAGTTTAGAATGTAAACTTTAATATTTGTTTAATTTAGTCATAATTTCAGTAATTTAAATAATAATGTGTTCACAATGTTATCATGAATTAATTATCTTATCTTATTATTAGAGTTTTAAAGTATTCTATATAGTTAAATTATATGATATATATATATATATATATATATATATATATATGTCATTTTAGCTTAGAAAATATTCTAAAATCATTAAAAATAACTCCTTATAATTATAATTATAATGTTTTATAATAATTGTACGAAATTTAAAATAATTCACGACTGCGATACCCGCAGTGACCGCGATGACATCTGTTATGTCCGCAACCGCGATAAATGCGACGCGACCGAAAACGCGACCAAAATCGTTATTTAAATCCTTGATTCATCCATTGCTTAGACGAGGGTAAATCAGAGTATCCCAAATCGAATCACTTAGATTCACGAAAATGCAGAAATCTTCTCGATTAAGAGGCCTTCTGATCTGCTGATAAATTTTGGGACAAGCAAGCCCGAATTTAATTTCGACAAAATTTGGAATTTAAAAGTCCCTACGAAAGTTAATTTTTTTTTTTGGATGTTGAAATTAAACAAGCTACCCACCAAAGAATTCCTAAGGTTGCGTGGAGTGCAGGGGTGGATGTTAGGGATGTGCAAATCCGGGTACCCAGGTTTTCGGGTACTTGAAGTGTCGGGTACCCAGATCTTCGGGTAATTGATTTCTCAGCCCGTGTCCCGACTCGGATGTTGCGGGTACCCGATACGGGTATCCGGATATCCTGTTTTTTTCCTTCAAATTATTAATTTAAAAAAACACAAATTTAAATGTATATATAATATTATTAATAATTAATAATATAATAATATTATATATATAAAATATATAAAATATATTATTAATAATTAAATATATAATAATATAATATTATTTTATATTTAAAAAATCCCTAACCGGGTACCCGGAAAAAATTCAATTTTGCGAATTGGGCCCAATCCGGCCGAGTAAAATTTTTAGAAAATTACCCGGTTTTCTTAGGTTCAGTCGACGACTCGGGTTAACCGGGTCTGATATTTTTGCACACCCCTAGTGGACGCATATGGCCCATAGGGGGGCCAAATACATACATATTATTTTAGATTAGATATTAAATATAGTTAAATATAGTAAAGGAAGAAGAAAAAAAAGAAATTTTGCATATCCTATAACACCCCGAATTCCGAGTTAGGAGTTTTGAGTTTATTCGAATTGACTTTAGAATAAATTTCCCTTAGTTTATGAAGAGTGTGACCTAAGTGGATTTGATTTGGGCTTGAGATGAGCTCAATAAGAATTAAAAAGGGTGTTCTTAATCTTGACTCAATTGTGGAGGGACTAAGGGAGTAATTATCCCATTTTCAAAACAAAGGTTGAATCCGATTAATTTGGGTTGATATCACGTTTGACAACCTTCTCCTCTTTTTCATTCCTTTTTTTTTCTCTTCTCCTCCATTTCTTAATATTCTTTCCTCTCTAAAAACCAAGCAAAGGTTGGACCTTTAGGGTGCGTTTGGTTCACGGAATGTAAGATTACCAGTGGGAATAAAAGATTACCAGGGAATAGGATTACTGGGAATGTTGTATTTTGTGTTTGGTTGGTTTTAGCAGGAATGTAAGATTACCGTGTTTGGTTAAAGGAATAAAAGATTATTAGAATGTATATTTGACCAAATTGTCATTATATATTTGTATAATATTACAAATTGTAAAATATTTATATATTTTCTTTAAAAAAATTAAATTCATAATATTTATATAATTTTTTTACAAAATTAAAAATATAAAATAGGTTTAATGAAAGGGTAAAAAAAATTTAACCCCTGAACTTCATATAAAATTTTAATTATAGACATTTTTTTGTAAATCTAAAATAATTTAAGGATAAATTTGTAATTTAACCTTCGTAGAATTTTTTATTATTCAATGACAGAAGAATTATATTTTTGAAAAAAAAATAAAAATTTAAGGGCATTTTAGTCCAAAACGCCGGTAATGTTACAATACCTAAGGGAAGGGAGGTAATGACATTCCCGGTAATATATCCCAAAAAATCTACTATTGATAAAAAAACATTACCGGGAATAAGATTCCCGGCCAACCAAACATGGGAATGTGGGATTCCCATGGGATGGGAATCCCACAATCCTTGAACCAAACACCCCCTTAAGGAATTTAAGTATCCTTTGTGAATTCTAAGGTAAGAACTACATCCTACACCTCTTAAGCTTCAAATCAAACTCTCATTTGCAAGGTTTGGGTATATTAACCTAAAAGGGGTTTTAGTGGGGTTTCATGAACTTAAAATTTAGCGGTTAAATTTTGATAAATTAAAAAGTTTAAGGACTGATTTGGAATTTTTTTTGTCTAGGACCTATTATCAAAGATTGAAGAATGGAAGGGCAAAGTGGTCTTTTGGCATGAAATGAATTTAATTTTTTTAAAGGATATTAAACATGTGATGAATTAGGGGAAAAGGAAAAGAAAAATCTAGACTTCATCCTCATCTTCTCTCCTTCCTTTTCTACCGTGAGCCTCCCCTTTGCTAAGGTAAGCGATTAAAATTGGTTATTTCTTTCTTTTTTGAGTTGGTTTTTAATCTTTGGGTGTTATAGAAGCTTAAGGAAGCTTAAAGATGATTAGAAGCTAAGGGATTGAGGAATTATTGGTGAATTAGTAAAATAGGTTTTTAAAGGAATTGATGAAATTTGAGTAGTTATTGGATTTTAAAGGTATAATTAACTTTTGAAAGGTCTAGTTAAGGTGTTTGAAGTATTAGAAAGGATTAAGAATATGTTTGAGTGATGGGTATGATTTTTAGCTTTAAGTAATATATGGAGAATTTTGGATGTTAAAAGGGGAGTAATGGATATAAGTTGGTTGGGATAAGTGTTAATGAGTTTAAGAGTATGAGCGGAGTTAATATTAAGATATTTAAGTGAATTTTGGGTAAAATTTGAATTAAAATAAGTGAATTTGTTTAAAACATTTTGATATTTCGATATAACAAATTAAGATAAATGAATTTTAAGATTTTCCAAAAAGATCTTCTAAGTATATTTGATATAATTATTCGAATATTAAAATATTACTCCAAATCTTTCAAATGTCATTTTTAATCCTTACTCAAGTGTAAAATTAAGTTTTAATCTTAAAATAATTTCAAAACAATTTTACAAAATATTTCAAACCATTTCAAAGCCAAAAAATTCCATATTGCTCAGAGGGAACCGATTCCCCCCTGAATGGTTTGGCTCTGAGAAAAATAGAATGCTCGGAGGGAACCGATTCCCCCTGATCAACGGTCGAAATATTTGAATTTTACACTTAGGGAAAAAAAGTTGGTTAAAATCGTATATTATAAGGCATTTTTGGTCACTGAGACGATTTTCTCTTAACAAAAAGGGGGAGAAGAATAGGTGTTAAATGTTTTAATTAACAAATTGAAGAAGGTTAAAGTAAGGGGGGAGAAATTTCAAAACTTGATTTCAAAATCTTAAAATGTTTGTTATATCAAAAAGGGGGAGATTGTTGAAACATTTGATATTTCGATATAAAAAATTAAGTTAAATGGATTTTAAGATACAAATTAAGTTAAAGGATTTTAAGATTTTCCAATGATTTTCTAAGTATATTCGATATAACTATTCGAATAT